TTCAATATAGTTAATGTCTTTGAGAACCCATTCCTCATCTTAAGAACAAACCTCGTAGCTCAGGACCTTCCTACATGGGAGACAAGATATGGAGCTACACAAATAAGAGAAGAACAGTGGCCAAGCCTGTAAGTCTTCCTTGGAACCCGCAAGTGAACTGCAGAAGGTGGAAAGTATATGCTGCAATCCAACAAAATTAATAGCTTCCACTTGGAGTAAGAGGGGGTGTGATTGGAGTGACAGCTTCGCCTCTTCCTAGGTAGATAAGTAAGCTGCGGTCATGTGGCAAACTTTTACATTTTTCTTTTGTTTTCCTTTTCCTTTTAACTGTTTTCACAGCAATTTCTTCCAGTAGGAAATCGTAATTTTTCTGTGGTCATATCTATTGAACCCTCGTCTTTATTATTTCTGGCTTTGGAGATGAGCTTGAAAAACTATTTTCCACTCATGACTATGAAAATATTAACCAATTACTTTCATCATGTTTATTCTTTTCTTTTTTAGAATACATATTATACATATTTATTCTAATTTTTCTAATCAGTGATGTGGTCAAAACACTCATGTGTCCTACTCACAGAAATTTTCTTTCTTTCTTTTCTTTCTCTCTCTTTCTTTCTTTCTTTCTTTCTTCCTTCCTTCCTTCCTTCCTTCCTTCCTTCCTTTCTCCTTTCTTTCTTTCTTTCTTTCTTTCTTTCTTTCTTTCTTTCTTTCTTTCTTTCTTTCTTTCTTCTTTCTTTCTTTCTTTCTTTCTTTCTTTCTTTCTTTCTTTCTTTCTTTCTTTCTTTCTTTCTTTCTTCTTTCTCTCTCTTTCTTTCTTTCTTTTTCTTTCTCTTCTTCTTCTTCCTCCTCCTCTTCCTCCTTCCTCTTGTGATTATACTGAGCCCACCCAGATAATCCAGGATAATTTGCATCTCAAGACCCTTGAACTTGATGACATCTGCAAAGTCCCTTTTCTGTAAGGTTATACTGGCATAGGGTCCAGGAATTAGTGCAAAGCCACAATCTCAGAAAGAAAATGAGAGTGGAAAATGAAGACAGATCATCTTGGTCTAAACCCAGGGATATTCTAGAAAACAGAGATTAGAGACATAAGAAAGAAACCAATAAAGGAAACTAAGGAGAAAGAAAAGAATGATGCGGGGTGATTGGAGGTGCAGACAGTTCCAAGGAAGGATATGTTAATTGCTCCTGACACGTCAAGGAAAATGAGGACTGATCATTGACCATTGGATTTAGCAACATGGACTTTCCTGCTGACCTGGACCTGAGCAGTTTTAATGGAGAAGTGGGGGCAATGCATGACAGGAAGAATTCAAGACAGAAGAGACTTTTCCAAAAAAAGGCATACCAATGGTTACTGTGCGACGTGCAAAGATGTTCAACGATATTAGTCATTTGGGAAATGGAAATCAAAAGCACAATGAGTTACCACTTCACACACACTCAGAAGGCAATAACCAGAGACATGGACAATAACAAGACTTGGGAGGATGTGGAGATGTCCTCCCACATTGCTGGTGGAATGTAAAAATGGTGAAGGTGAAGGTGAAAAAATGGAAATGAAATAACGAGAGGAAGATGGAATACAAGAAGCTTTCTGACAGATAACCCAAGGGAACAAACTGGCTGATCAGGGATCTGAAATGAGTAATAAGGAGTCAAAAATGAGCAAAAATATGCTTCTCTGTGGATGCAAACCATATCTCCATTACTTACACTCAGGAGAACATGCATGAAGTAGTTAGCTTCTCTGGATTTTAGCTTTTTCATGTGTACAATGGGGGCATATGCCTCACAGAATTGTAGAAACTCCAAATGAGAGACTTAGGCAAAGCCTACTGGATGACACTATGAATAATATCATCAGTGGAAGGTGATTTGAGGATGTAATGCTGATATCCCTGACAGGGACATGAGGGAGCTTGGATAAATTTCAAGGAAGAAAATATCTCTTCTCTGAATGTCTTGTCTACATTTGAGGGCACTGTACCTTATTCCATGTCTTCCACCCAATCAGGGCCCTACTGCCACTTAAGGGGTAATTTCTCTTTCAATCATTAGTTGTTCCAGCACCAAGGAGCCCACCCTGAGTTGAGGCTCGTGAGTCGGAGGTCAGGATCCTTGGGAGACTGGCAACAGGAGGATACTCCCATCTGAATACTCCAGGATTCCAAAGGTGTCTCAGTCTATTGGCTATTATAACAAAATACCTTAGATGCATAAATCACGGGGCAATTTATATATAATAGAAATTTATTTCTCACAGTCTTGAGACTGAGAAGTCTAATATCAAGGTGTCAGTAGATTCCGCATCTGGTAAGGCAGATTCAGTGTCTCTTCAGCTCACCTTCAGCTCCATAGATGGCATCTTACTGTGGCATCATCACATGGCAGAGGGGGAACACTGTGCACTCAGTGGAGAAAGGGGAGGACACTAAGTCCTCGCATGATGGAAGGGGGGAACACAGCGCCCTTACGTGGTGGAAGTGGGAACACCGCGGAACACCATGTCCTCACATTATGGAAGCAGGCAACACCGTGTCCTTACATGATGGAAGCAGGCAACACCGTGTCCTTACATGATGGAAGGCAGGAATACTATGTCCTCACATGGTGGAAGGGGCAACACTGTGTCCTCACATGGTGGAAGGAGAGACACCATGTTCTCATATGGTGGCAGCGGGGAACATCGTGTCCTCATAGGGTGGAAGGCAGTAAGACTATGTCCTCCCATGGTGAAAGGCAGGAACACCATGTCCTCACGTGGTGGAAGGAGAAACACTGTGCCCTCACATAGTGGAAGTGACAGAAGGGCAAAAGGGGTGACACTGTCCTCAAACCATTTTATAAAAGTACTAGTCCCATTCATGGCACCTAACCACCTCCTAAAGGCCCAGTCTTCTTCATGCTTTTGCATTGGGGGGATTAGGTTCCAACATGAAACATCCAAGCCATAGCAAGGGTCTTCAGTCACCGTTGTCATGAGGGGAAAAGATAGGAGCTCCGGAATCATCCAGTGGTGGATCTAAGGCTTTGCTTTGCCACCAACTAGTTATGAATGCTGTTGATCAATACCAACTCTAGCAGGTTCTTAGAATTAAAAGGATAATAAGAGTAAAATGTGTACTTATAATGTCATGTTTTAAACGAGAAGAAAATACAAATAAAAATTTATTGGATCCTTGGAATGCAGAGGACTTTTAATTTTGATATCATTGGAAGAAATCATAAGAAGAGCAAAATATTTAGTATTTTAAAATTAAAAACGTATTTAAAAAATAATTAAGAAGAAGAATATTTGCAAAGTGCCTGGGACAAAAACTGGTTCAAAACAGCCTGAAAAGCCTTGTTCTTCTTTTTTGTTTCCTTGTTTTTTTTTTTTTTTGTTGTTGTCTTTGATGTGGTGGGAAGGTCAGTTGGATGATCTCATCTTATGCTGCCCCAGGGCTAATGTGCACTGATACCTCGTCATGTCCAGTCACCTGGGAAGCCAGGGAGGAGGCTGGCACCATCAGCTTTATGCTCAGCCTAAATGGGAAGACGGCAAAAATGAAGCCCTGCTATGGATCCTCTCCCTCCTGCCTCACTCATCCACCATCTGGCAGACACCTAGCATTATTTCCTAGTGCTCAATCTCTTAGCAGGGACTCTGTTCAGATCTTTGTTTTCTGTGGGTGGCAATGAGGAAATGAGCTCACCTGAGCCGGGAGGGAAACTAAGAGACCCAAGGATCTAGGCCACTAGATGTGCCACAGCACCTTGTGGTGCTAGAGTTAGCCCATCTCTGCCTAAAAGCTGGGACTCAAACAGGAGGCAGAGTCTGCAGGAAGCTGAAGATCCCTCAGGAGGGAAGAAACACTCACATGCCATGGAGGAAGCGTGGCCAGGTTCACAATAAGAGGTGGATAAGGGAATAAGGAAGTCTCTAATTAGGAGCTCAGGCCAAATATAGTCAAGGGAGGTCATTGTGTCTACCTCTGTTTCCAGGTAGAGCCATGCCAGTCTGTCAGCAGCTCCTTTCTGCATCTCCCTCTGCTGACCCCATGGGATGGGAAAAGGTTGGCCCAGACCCTTTGCACCAAGAAGTGCTTGTCTCCTCAGCCCTATTCTCCCACAGCCCCATATCCTCCTGAGAGAGCCCAGGTTAGTTCTGCAGGAAGATTCATGATCATCCCAGGACAAACTGTGGCAGGGACTGTACATAGTGTCCAAGGTGTTCAGAAAAGTCAGATGTGGGGGGAGGTCATGTTTAAACCTTTGAGATCCAGAGAGCTCCATGGAACAAGCATCTTGGGAAGGGCTTTGAGTAGCGCAGCAGTATTTCAGCAGGTGGGAGTGAGGGTGAGAAACAGGGAGAGGGAAATTTCATTTCGGGCAGAGGGATGCAAGTGAGCAAAGAAGTGGATGACCTAGGTTTGGAGCCAGCATAGCTACTGGGGCACTGAGGGTCAGAATAAGAAGCGGCTGGAGAGGGCTGCGTCAGACCTTCTCAACAGCTTCACCCATCAGAGCCCAAGTAGTCCTCACCAAGGGGGTGTGGAAGAGTACCACACCTCTGTCCTTATAGCTAAGCGCTCTATCCTACGCCAAGGAAAGAGCTGAAGCTGTTTTCCTAAGACAACCCCAAACTGTGGCCTCTTAGGGTCATTCTCTGAGACACAGAGGCTAGGAAGATTTTGAGATGACACAAATTTCTCTTTCTGCTCTACAGGAAGTTGAGTTTGGATCCACAGGCTAAGACTGAAGATTAGGTTCAGATTAGCACAGGAGAAAAGAAAGGTAGCTTTGGTTCAGTTGTATAATGTGCACTAGACACCTGCCCCGACATTCATGTACACACAAACTGCCTGATGCCCCCAAGGGATCCCTATACAAACTCTGCAAAGAAAGCCGTGGCCTGCTCCTTTGTGGGCTCCTACCCACCCACGCTGTCCTCCAACTCAGCATCCAGAAGCCAGGTCCTACCCCCTCCTCTGCAGCACAGTCAACACCTCTGCACCGTTCCCATGTCTGGAACGGCTTATGTCCTCAGAAACACACATACCGGTGACACGGCAGAGGTGGCGGGGATTTTCCACCTGCTCAGTCAGACAGGGTCCCCTTGGGAAGGCTTCTGGAGGAGAGGGGTCAGGAGCCACATCAATGATAGGGAAAGAATCTTTGCCCAAGTGTAAGTGCATCTTGGGGAGGTGTCTCAGAATGTGAACAGGTCATGGGTACACCATAGAACTGTGGCTATGAGATCAGAGTACACAGACAAGGGGCAGCTGAAACCGGACCAGCACTAAGAAAGGCAGGGGTCTGCAGGCTTCAGGCTCAGAGTGTAGATATCCTGGGAGTGCCAGATCCTTTTGCTTCCTCCAGTTGAATGATCTTAATGGCCCTGCCTGGGCAATGATAATGAACCTCACTGTAGATAGCAGTGAGCGGCTCCTCTTTTTCCAGATATTGTTCACCAATGCCCTGGAATACAAGACAGAGGGTGGCTGGGTCAGCTGAGGGATAGAATGAATCTGCAGGGACCCACAGAGCCAGTACCCACTGCCATGCACTGCTTGTGAATTCCTCTAAAGTGTAAATTTTCTTAGTAAATGCTGGTGATTGTCCAGACATAGATAAATAGGCGGTGGGGTCAGAAATGGCAGGTCCTGGAACTGGAAGCCCAAGGCTGGGCAGAGAGACCTGGGACTTCCCAGGGTGGCCCTTGCCCTGGCACTCACCTTGTCCTTGTCCTTCTGAGACACTGGCAGCCTGAGATCTTCATAGTGGTTGACATCATCATCGAACACATGGTTCTCCTGCAGTTCTCCACCTGAGGAAATCAAAGCTTGAATCTGTGCCTTAGAAATATGTATCTCTCCCCACTGCCTTGAACCCTGAGGCCAAGACCATGCCCATCATCCCTTTGCAGAGTCCACTCCCTGGGAGAAAAATTCAGGAGAAAGGAAGCTGAGGTTCCAGTGAGGGAGGGGAAGTGTCTGGATTTGGAAGGAGAAATGCAACTTGCCTCTTCTTATCTTCATCTTCTTTTTCTTCCTACATGTCTTCAAAAGATACAGCCCAGTTCCCAGGACCAACACCACACCCGCAACATCCCCTAGAAGGCCTGGCAGCAGTCTAACCGTGTCCTGTTTGTGTGGATCTGTTTCTGTCACATGGGGAGAGTAGAAAACATTAAGGCAGGACATAACTTGACACACCCATTGCCAAGAGGAAACAGGGAGAAAGCAGGGGGAGAAGTGGAAAGGGGCCTGGTGCAGAAGCTGCAGAGGAGCATGGCAGGTCCATTCATTCAACAGGTTAGGAGCCGCTGCTTGATGCCAGGGATGCTGAGATGCACAAGACGATGTCCACAGCAGCCCAGGACACAGGAGGGAAGACAGAAAATACCAACTGCCAGACAGAGGGATCGCAGCTGCAACAGAGGTTTCCACCTTGTACGAGGTCTTCAGGGAGGGCCTCCCAGAGGAGGTTCTGGCTAAACCGAGGTTTGAGGGGGAGCATGAGATTATCATATATTTAGGGTGGGGCATTCCAGGAAATAGGAGCATGAAGGTCAGGAAACGAGTGTCAAGACACCAGCGCTGGGAGTTACTGGCACCCCACTGCAGCAGAAGAGGGGCAGGGTGGGGAGAAGCTGTGGCAAGGAGAGTCAGAGGGAGGCAGGAGTCTGTGCCCAGAGGGCCTTGTGGTCATGCTAAATGCTGAACACTCCAGGATGGGGGTCAGTGGAGGAGGTGGCAGCTCATTTAAAGTGATGCTGATACGTCAGGTCCCCCAGCAGCTCCTGGAGGAAGGATTGGAGAGGACCAGGCTGCACATAGGGTATCAGGTCATTCATTCGTTCAGTGAACACTGAGTGTGAGCAGACATTGGTAGAAGCTGTGCTTGGCACAGGGTTCAAAGCAAAATATCAAGGTGTTGCAGTCTACAGGGCAGACAGTGGCATAAACACCCCATTACTGCTCAGTGTTGGGTGCCATGGACAGCTCCCTAAAGAGATGGGGCCTGAAGGCAGAACCAGATCCATCATTTTTAGGGCACTGTGCAATGCAAATTTAAATTCCCTTGATTAAAAACTAAAACCTTCAAGGAAGAAATGGCAGAGTTTTAACCAATTGTGGAATCCTGTGAAGTGTGGGACCCTGTGTGACGGCATCTGTCTTGTGCCCACAAAGCCGGTCATAGCTTAGAGGAATACTTGGAAAGGAATAAAAGAGGAAATGTCAGCCATTGGGTGTGGGAGGGCTGACGATCAGAAGCCCAGAAGCTTACAAAAAGCAGGACATATTTGGGGAAATAAAAGCAAGTAGTTTGGTGTGAAGCGCATAGGTGAGGCCAGACACATGGGCAGAGGAGCATCTGAGCCCTGAATTCCATGGGGAAGTAACTGGAGGCCAGATCCCACAGATGACACAGGAAACAACCTAATTTGACTCCCTTGCCCCAAAGCCCACTCTGGATGTTCAGTGGAGGATGGATGGGTTGGGAGAGCTCCCGGAAGGTTGCTGTCTGCATCGGCAGGAACATGGTGGGGGTGCAGCGAGGAAGGTATGGATGGGAGGGATGTTTAAAGGTAGAACTAAGGTGGAGGTGACTCCCACACTGCGGTGTGTGGTGAGCAGGTGGAAGGTGGTGCTAACGCACATGGAGGAGAAGAGAGCCCAGAACCCTCAGACCCTAGTGCTAGCTGAGCTCGGCAGCTCCTCTCCTGCAGGCTACACTCACCACTCACCTTGGACACACACTTTCCTGACATCTAAGATTGCAGCTTTCTTATCCACCTGGTTGCTGACCACACAGGTGAGGTGGGTGTTGCACTGGCGCAGGGGCAGACTCACAGCCAGGGTCCAGGGGTTCAGGGCTGGTCCTGGTGCTTTGCCCTCCTCCAGCTCTCTGAGGAGGCCCTTGCTCACCCAGGTCACTTTCAGGTCCTCGGTGGCCCCTGGAGCCCTGCACTGCAGGGTTATGTTACACAAGCCTGATGTGATAGAGAGTAACTTGGCCAGGATTCCAGGATGAGGCACAGGCTCTGGAGAAGAAGGGGACAAGTGAGTGGAATCTCACATGTATGGAATGCCAATAGCCACTAGCAGGTGAAAAAGGTAAAATAACAAGTTCTTTTCTGGAGTTCCCAGAAAGAACGCAGCCGTGCCACCACCTCATTTAGCTCACGGAGACTGTGTCAGACCTCTGGCCTACAGCACAGTGAGATAATACATTTTTCTTGCTTTCAGCCAATAATTTTTGGCAATTTGTTACATCAGTGATAAAAAACCACTATACAAATTAAGTAACAATAATCATATGTAGGACGATTAATGTTACTGGAAAAATTGCTATTTTCCCAAATTTCCATTTCCTCCCCCAAAACACTAAAAGAGTTTCATTCCCTGATGTGAATCTCAGCTCTGCTATCTCTGGAGACCTCATGTGCCTTATTTTTGGTGGAGAAAATTGACTCTGAAGGCTGGTGTCTGAATGGAACCCTGCATGGGGCCTATGTGACACTCTAGGGACAAAAAACCCAGAGAAGCCAGAGGATTGGGGGGGGTGTCACTCACCATAGACAGAGAGGTAGAAAACCTGGCCAAGCGTTTTTCCCCGAGTTGAGCGGATCATGGCCATGTACTGCCCACTGTCTTCAGGGGCCAGGTTCTCAATCCTCAGAGACCACACACTGGGCACATGGACCCTCTGCTTGAACTTCTCCTGGAGGCTCAACCAGATTGGAGAGTCAGCTCCCTTACGGACTTGCAGCACCTGTGTGTAATTTAACAGAGTGCCCAAAGCCCATGAAACCTCCTGCAGCTCGGCTCCTACAACTACTCTGAGCTTCTCGATCACATTAAACAAGACAGAGCCGCCTCGGATCACCTTCAGATGAATGGGTTTTCTATAAACCTCCAAGGCAGAATCATGTGCTTCAGAAGTGTAGGCTTCAGTGCTGCAGACACCTAGGGCACAGAGACAGGAAACATGAGTATTTTCTCATCAAGAACAAATGAGAGAAACACAGACCTTTGGTTCAGAGTGACAGAAATCCATCCAAATCCTTCCTTGATTCTGGGAGGGCTGCCTAGTATAAGAAATATGAAGCAATTCTGGCTCAAGTTCTGGTTCTAGTGGAGTGTGATCTTGAACAGGGTCCTGAACCCCCCAATCTTCAGTTTTCTTACCTGCCCCATAAGGACAGTAAGGATCAAATGAGATTCTAGATCAAAAGCACCTAGCACATTTTCTGACATATGCTAAGTGCATAACTGCAGGAGGCAGCTTCTAACGTGGCTCCCAAGGATGTCTCCCCACTGTGTGCACAACCCTGTGTGATGCCCTCCCTGGAGTATGGGCTGCACTGATTACTTGCAAACGCAGCAAAAGTGATGGAGTGTCCCTTCTGTCTGGCTCACACCCTCTGTCTCCATCACTCTCTCCTGCTCAGGCTGATGAAGCCAGCTACCGTGTTGTGAGCTGCTCTGTGGAGAGGCCCACATGGCAGGGAGCTGGGGGCAGCCTCAGCCAACACCTTCATTCCAGTCTTTGTGTACCTAAGCCACAGGACCTAGCTGAACCACACCTGGATTCTGATCTCCATAAACTGTGAGACAGTGCCTCTTATTTTGTTAAGGCCCTGAGTTCTAGGGTAACAGCTCACACAGCAATACATAACTAAGGCAAAAATGAAGGTTGCTTTCCATTGCCTTTTATTCTAGGAGGGGAACTAGGCAGTATAGGATGGGGCAGGATAGGATGGGAAGTGAATTAGACAGGTTGTCTTGTGGCAACAAACAAAAAGTCAGAGCCTAAGAACAAGAGACGTTTGTATATTACTCACACTACATGTCCCACAAGGGATAGTGGAGGAAGGGTCATGTCACTCATAGGTGAGGGCTCCACACCTTGTAGGAGCTCCATATGGAACCCACAGCCTCCTCAGCCCCCATGGCAGGGAAAGGAGACCAGACAGGCACCTGTGGGGTGTTCACTGCACTGCAGAAGTGGTGTAATTTCTGCCCATATTTTCTGGACAGAACTAGTCAGGAGACCCTGCTAACTGCCACGGGCAGAAAGTGTGGCGGAGCAAATGGACTGTTTGGTGGCACTGTGTCTCCGCCACCAAGAAAACACCTCCCTATGCAATGCCCATGAGGTCCCTGATTAGTCTCCCTCAGTTGCCTTCTCCCACAGAGCCCTGACCAGTGGGCACAACTGCCTCGGCTCCGCCTCCCTCTGAGCCCTTTTTTGCCCACTAGGAACAGCCACAATGAACCCAGAGACCTCTGTCCTTCCTGGGGACCAGGGTGGGACCAATCTGGACCAGGTCCATCTGGGTTTGTTGCTGGGTGGCAGGGTACCCAGTGTTCTCTCTAATGAGTAAATTCCTCCCCATTTCAAGCCTGCAGCATTCTGCTGTCTTTATACCCATCCCTGGCTCTCACTGAAAGCAAATAGCTCATGCCAATCCTTAGATGTGGAAGCATTTCAAATATTTGTTTCCAGTTATACACTAGCTCAGTTCACCAGGCCCCTCCTTTGGGCTAGGCCTCACCCCCTCCCTTCAGCTCCCTCAAGGGACTAGGCCCCACCCGAGGCTCAGCACCCCTTAGCACCAGGTACACAGGCCTTTAAGATCCACATTAGCCGGTTAATGGGTTTGTCAGTCCATTTTTGCATAGCTATAAAGAAATACCTAATGCTAGGTAATTTATAAAGGAAAGATATCTAATTGGCTCACAGTTCTGCAGGCTGTACAGAAGTGTAGAGCCAGCATCTGCTCCTGGTGGGGGCCTCAGGAAGCTCACAGTCATGGTGGAAGGCAAAGGAGAGCCAGCATATTTCATGGTCAGAGCAAGAGCAAGAGAGACAGGGAGGAAGATGGCCGAATAGGAACAGCTCTGGTCTGCAGCTCCCAGTGAGATCAATGCAGAAGGCGGGTGATTTCTGCATTTCTAACTGAGGCACCCAGCTCATCTCACGGAGAGTGGTTAGACAATTATTGCAGCCCTTGGAGGGTGATCTGCAAGCACAAGGGTTCGGGGAACTCCCTCCCCTAGCCAAGGGAAGCCATGAGGGACCCTGCTATGCGGGATGGTGTTTCCGGCCCAGATACTATGCTTTTCCCATCGTTGTCGCAACCTGCAGACCAGGAGATTCCCTTGGGTTCCTATGCCACCAGAGCCCTGGGTTTCAAGCACAAAACTGGGCACCCATTTGGGCAGACACTGAGCTAGCTGCAGGAGTTTTTTTTCATATCCCAGTGGCACCTGGAACATCAGCAAGACAGAATGGTTCACTCTCCTGGAAAGGGGACTAGAGCCAGGGAGCCAAGTGATCTAGCTCGGAGGATCCCACCTCCACAGAGCCCAGCAAGCTAAGATCCACTGGCTTGAAATTCTTGCTGCTAGCACAGCAATCTGAAGTTGACAAGAGACACTCAAGCTTGGTGTGGGGAGTGGTGCCTGCCATTACTGAAGCTTGAGTAGATGTTTTTTTCCTCACTGTGTAAACAAAGCCACTGGAAAGTTCAAACTAGGCAGATCCCACTGCAGCTTGACAAGCTGCTATAGCCAGACTGCCTCTCTAGATTCCTCCTCTTTGGGCTGGGCATCTCTGAAAGAAAGACAGCAGCTCCAGTCAGAGGCTTTTAGATAAAATGCCAATCTCCCTGGGGCACAGCACTTGAAGGAATGGGCAGCTATGGGCACAGCTTGAGCAGACTTAAATGTTCCTGCCTGCCACCTCTGAAGAGAGCAGTGGATCTCCCAGCACAGTGCTTGAGCTCTGCTAAGGGACAGATTGTCTCCTCAAGTTGGTCCCTGACCACCATGCCTCCTGGCTGGGAGAAACCTCGCAGCAGGGGTTGACGGACACCTCATACAGGAGAACTCCAGCTGGCATATGGTGGGTGTCCCTCTGAGATGAAGCTTACAGAGAAAGGAACAGGAAACAATCTTTGCTGTTACTGTTCTGCAACCTCCATTGGTGAGACCCAGGCAAAGAGAATCTCCAGCAAACTCCATCAGGCCTGCAGCAGAGGGGCCTGACTATAAGAAGAAAAACTAACAAACAGAAAAAGATAGCATCAACCTCAAGAAAAAGGACATCCATACAGAATCTCCATCTGAAGGTCACCAACATAAAAGATGAAAGGTAGATAAATCCACAAAAATAAAGAAAAAACAGCACAAAAAGTCTGAAAATTCCAAGAACCAGAATGCCTCTTCTCCTCCAAGTGATCATAACTCCTCACCAGCAAGAGAACAAAACTGGATGGAGAATGAGTTTGACAAATTGACAGAAATGGCTTTCAGAAGGTGGGTAATAATAAATTCCTCCAAGCTAAAGGAGCATGTTCTAATCCAATGTGTGGAAGCTAAGAGCCTGGAGAAAAGGTTAGAGGAATTGGTGACTAGAATAGCATTTAGAGAAGAATATAATGACCTGATGGAGCTGAAAAACACAACACGAGAACTTCGTGAAGCATTTATAAGTATCAATGGCTGAATTGATCAAGCAGAAGAAAGGATATTAGAGACTGGAGATCAACTTAATGAAATAAAGCATGAAGACAAGATTAGACAAAAGGAGTGAAAAGAAATGAACAAAGCATCCATGTAATATGGGTCTATGTGAAAAGACCAAACCTGTGTTTGATTGGTGTACTTGAAAGTGACGGGGAGAATGGAACCAAGTTGGAAAACACTCTTCAGGATATTATGCAGAAGAACTTCCCCAACCAAGCAAGACAGGCCAACATTCAAATTCAGGAAATACAGAGAACACCATAAAAATACTCCTTGAGAAGAACAACCTCAAGACACATAATCGTCAGATTCACCAAGGTTGAAATGAAGGAAAAAATGTTAAGGGCAGCTAGAGAGGAAGGTTGGGTTAACCACAAAGGGAAGCCCATCAGACTAATAGTGGATCTCTCTGCAGAAACCCTACAAGGCAGAAGAGAGTGGGGGCCAATATTTAACATTATTAAAGGAAAGAGTTTTCAACCCAGAATAGCATATCCTGGCAAATTAAGCTTCAAAAGTGAAGGAAAAATAAAATCCTTTACAGACAAGCAAAAGCTGAGAGATTTTGTCACCACCCGGCCTGCCTTACAAGAGCTCCTGAAGGAGGCACTAAATAGGGAAAGGAAAAACCAGTACCAGCCACTCCAAAAACATACCAAACTGTAAAGACCATCAACATTGTGAAGAAACTGCATGAACTAATGGGCAAAATAACCAGCTAGCATCATAATGACAGGATCAAATTAACACATAACAATATTAACCTGAAATAAATGGCCCAATTAAAAGACATAGACTGGCAAATTGGATAAAGAGTCAAGACCCATTGGTGTGCTGTATTTGGAGACACATCTCATGTGCAAAGACACACATAGGTTCAAAATAAAAGGATGGAGGAAGATTTACCAAGCAAATGGAAAGGAAAAAAAAAAAAAAGGAAGAGTTGCAATCCTAGTCTCTGATAAAACACACTTTAAACCAATGAAGATCAAAAGAGACAAAGAAGGGCATTACATAATGGTAACAAGATCAATGCAACAAGAAGAGCTAACTATACTAAATAGATATGCACCCAATACAAGAACATCCAGATTCATAAAGCAGATTCTTATAGACCTACAAAGAGACTTAGACTCCCACACAATAATAGTGGGAGACTATAACACCCCACTGTCAATATTAGACAGATCAATGATACAGAAAATTAACAAGGATATTCAGGATTTGAACTCAGCTCTGGACCAAGCGGTCCTGACAGACATCTACAGAGCTCTCCACCCCAAATCAACAGAATATACATTCTTCTCATTACCTCATCAAACTTATTCTAAAATTGACAACATAATTGGAAATAAAACACTCCTCAGCAAATGCAAAAGAACAGAAATTGAAACAAACAGTCTCTCAGATCACAGTTCAATCAAATTAGAACTCAGGATTAAGAAACTCACTCAAAGCTGCACAACTACATGGAAAATGAACAACCTGCTCCTGAATGACTACTGGATAAAGAACAAAATTAAGGCAGAAATAAATATGTCTTTTGAAACCAGTGAGAACAAAGACACAATGTACCAGAAACTCTGGGACACAGCTAAAGCAGTGTTTAGAGGGAAATTTATAGCAATAAATGCCCACAGGAGAGAGCAGAAAAGATCAAAAATCAACACCCTAACATCACAGTTAAAAGAACTAGAGAAGCAAGAGCAAACAAATTCAAAAGTTAGTGGAAGAAAAGAAATAACTAACATCAAAGCAGAACGGAAGGAGATAGATACGCCAAAAAAAAAAAAATTTCAAAAAAATCAGTGAATACAGGAGGTGGTTCTTTGAAAAGGTTAACAAAATAGATAGACCACTAGCCAGACTAATAAAGAATAAAAGAAAAAAGAATCAAATAGACACAATAAAAATGATAAAGAGGATATCACCTTTGAGCCCACAGAAGTACAAACTGCCATCAGAGAATACTAGAAACACCTCTATGCAAATAAACTAGAAATCTAGAATAAATAGATAAATTCCTGGACACATACACCCTCCCAAGACTAAATCAGTAAGAAGTCGAATTCCTGAATAGACCAATAACAAGATCTGAAATGGAGGCAGTAATTAATAGTCTACCAACCAAAATAATAATGATAATAATAATAAAAAGCCCAGGATCAGACAGATTCACAGCTGAATTCTACAGAGGTACAGAGAGGAGTTGGTACCATTCTTTCCAAAACTATACCAAATAATAGAAAAAGAGGGACTCCTCCCTAACTCATTTTATGAGGCCAGCATCATTCTGATACCAAAACTTGGCAGAGACATAACAAAAATAAAATAAAATTTTAGACCAATATCCCTGATGAACGTCAATGAGAAAATCCTCAATAAAATATTGGCAAACCAAATACAGCAACACATCCAAAAGCTTATCCACCACAATGAAGTCAGCTTTATCCCCGGGAGACAAGGGTGATCCAACATATGCAAATCAATAAACGTAATCTATCACACAAACAGAACCAATGACAAAAAACACATGGTTATCCCAATAGATGCAGAAAAGGCCTTCAATAAAATTCAACACCCCTTCATGCTAAAAACTCTCAATAAACTAAGTATTGATGGAATGTATTTCAAAATAATAAGAGCTATTTATGACAAACCCACAGCTAATATCATACTGAATTAGCATAAGCTAGAAGCATTCCCTTTGAAAATCAGAACAAGACAAAAGTGTCCTCTCTCACCATTCCTATTCAAGATAGTATTGGAGGTTCTAGCCAGAGCAATCAGGCAAGAAAAAGAAATAAAGGGTATTCAGATAGGAAGAGAGGAAGTCAAACAGTCTCTGTTTGCAGATGACATGGTTGTATATTTAGAAAACCCCATTGTTTCAGCCCAAAAATCTTTAAGCTGATAAACTTCAGCAAAGTCTCAGCATACATAATTAAAGTGCAAAAATCACAAGCATTCCTATACACCAGTAATAGACAGAGAGCCAAATCATGAGTGAGCTCCCATTCACAACTGCTATAAAGAGAATAAAACACCTAAGAATACAACTCACAAGGGATGTGAAGGACTTTTCAAGGAGAACTACAAACCACTGCTCAAGGAAATAAGAGAGTACACAAACAAATAGAAAAACATTCCATTCTCATGGATAGAAAGAATCAATATTGTGAAAATGGCCATACTGTCCAAAGTAATTTATAGATTCAACGCTATCCTCATCAAGCTACAATTGATTTTTTTTTCACAGAATTAAAGACTACTTTAAATGACACCATACATCTACAACCATCTGATCTTCAACAAACCTGAGAAAAACAAGCAATGGGAAAAGGATTTCCTATTCAATAACGGTGTTAGGAAAACTGGCTAGTCATATGCAGAAAACTGAGACTGGACCCCTTCCTTACACCTTATACAAAAATTAACTCAAGATGGATTAAAGACTCAAATGTAAGACCTAAAACCATAAAACCCCAGAAGAAAACCTAGGCCATAAAATTCAGGACTTAGGCACAAGCAAAGACTTTATGATTAAAACACCAAAAGAAATGGCAACAAAAGCCAAAATTGACAAATCTGATCTAATTCAACCAAAGAACTTCTGTATAGCAAAAGATATAATCATCAGAGATCAGAGTGAACAGACAACCTACAGAATAGGAGAAAATTTTTGCAATTTACCCATCTGGAAAAGAGTTAAGATCCAGAATCTACAAAGAACTTAAACAAATTTACAAGAAAAAAACAATTCCATCAAAAAGTTGGTGAAGGATATGAACAGACACTTCTCAAAAGAAGACATTTATGTTGCCCACGAACATGAAAAAAAAGCTCGTCACTGGTCATCAAAAAAACAGCGAGAATGTGGTTTTGAAAAATGTGGTTTTGAAATGCCAATCGAAACCACAGTGTGATACCATCTCACACTAGTTAGAATGGCGATCATTAAAAAGTCAGGAAACAACAGATGCTGGAGAGAATGTGGACAAATAGGAAGGCTTTTACACTGTTGATGGGAGTGTAAATTAGTTCAACGATTGTGGAAGACAGTATGGCGATTCCCCAAGGATCTAGAACCAGAAATACCATTTGACCCAGCAATCTTATTATTGGGTATACACCCAAAGGATTATAAATCATTCTACTATAAAGACACATGCACACATATGTATTGTAGCACTGTTCACAATAGCAAGGACTTGGAACCAACCCAAATGTCTGTCAATGATAGACTGGACAAAAAAAAAATGTGGCACATATACACCACGGAAGATTCTGCAGCTATAAAAAAAATGAGTTTATGTCCTTTGCAGGGACATGGATGAAGCTGGAAACTATCATTCTCAGCAAACTAACACAGGAACACCTCCCTCCCTCCCTCCCTCCCTCCCTCCCTTCCTCCCTCCCTCCCTTCCTTCATTCCTTCTCTTTCTTTCTTTAGTAATCCTCCAACTCCAGTGCCTGTAGAGAAAACTCTACACCGTTAGACATATTTCCAGGTAAACAACATTGTAGAAGTGGAGAAAGCCCGTATTTTGCTGTTGATGAAAAGGGGATCTAACCCCTTTCTATTGCAAAGCTCATTGTTCCTTCAGGACCTCCAATGTTAAAGTGCTCTCTAATCCATTGGCTTTCATAGAATTCCCTGCAAGTTCAATTGGTGTCTGGGATATAAAACCAAAAAATTATAACAAGAACAGCTTCCATCAAAATTCATATGCACTAGATCTTATTATTTCCTCATTTTAAAATTTAATTTTAGTATACATACAACCATGTAATTGTTCATAAAATAATGAATGTTATATACAGCCTAGATTAGGACAGTTTTTCTTTCAGTTCACTTTTTGCTTAACTTTCTTTATTCTATACTTTCTCCCTCTGTGTCCTCCTCAATTTTATACCCGCCTGTAGCCCATGTTGGCAATCTACTGATTCCTTCCACATTTTTAGCAGTCTTAGAAACATGTAGATGCATAAATACTTAAATTTTGGTGGCTGCCTTTTCTTTTATAAAGTGAAGATTGTATTGTATTCAGTTTCCTGAATCTTGCCGATGGGAATCTATGCATCTTACTTCACGGAAGTTGAACATCCCTTCCAGATAACTAGAACATTTGTTTTTGTAAGCCTCTATATATGCCACAATATGATATTTCTCATCTTGTCCAATTGTTCCTGAATTGATAGGCCCCTCCTGTTTCTTTCCAGGGTTTTTCCTAGAACAGTGGTGTGATAAACATTATTTCATCTGAGGGTCTGAGCAGCATTTCCTAGTGGAGGAAAAGGCAACTCACAGGGCTGTGAAGGGCGCCTGCTGTAGACACATTTTACACAAAGATACGTTCTTTTTAACTTTTAAAATGAACACGAATGCAAACTACAAACACAGTTTTAAGATTGAGACTCCTAAGGGCTTTCCCCTTTGTGATGATTTGCTTGGAGATCCGCCCTAGGCGCAGGCAGTGGGTGACGGTTCTTTCAGCGCAGCCAAGACAGCCCTGGCTCAGGTTTCCCAGCCTCCTCACCACCAAAAGGACTTTCCATTCCTTCCATCTCAGGACCCAAACCAAACATGTTGCATTTGTAAATCATAACAGAGTGTTTTCCTCTTTTGTTGCCCAAAGACATCAGAAGCTGAACAGCCCACCTGGTGGTCAGGGGCCAGCGAGCCCAGCCCCGCCGTCCTTTGCCCTCCCTTCCCAGGGACCATGCCACTCACTGAGGAAGAGGCTGATGAATACCAGGAGCCCAGAGGCCCAGCAGAAGAACCGGTTCTTGGAGTGGGACCCCATGGCAGGCTGCCTGCTGGCCTGTTCAGCTGCAGCAGAAACAGAAGAAAGGATGAGGTAAGAAATGAGGACAAGCTTCGGCACAGGAGCGCTTCACACTCTTCCCTGCTTCAAGGGCCAGGCCAGCAAGTTACTACTGGGGATACTGGGGAGGCAGCCCGCAAGTCTAGAGAAAGCCACTCAGCTCTTTCATCCCCTCCCAGCCCCTACAGTAACGCATTGAGTGTATATGTAATTGCGGAAGAAATAAAGGTACAACCTCATTCTGTGATGTTCCTTGCAGTGCGTTAGACAGGCCCCTTTCTCTCGGGCACAGCCAGCTTGGTATCCTCTCACACACCCTCCCCTGACACTTACCTGCTTCCCTGGGTTCATAGCTGTGCCCCAGGTGGCCCCGGTCACCAGTGTCAGCCTACGGTCAGGCACAGAAGTCAACCACTTACAGCAAGGCTGGACTATGCCCTTCCTAAACTTGGTGACTTTCCTTTGTCCCTACCCCATACAATAAGTTAAATTTCTTTTTTGATTTTTCAAAAACTTCAACTCTCAGTTGCCTGGGTAAGAAGCTGTAAGCAAAAGAACAAATCTCCTTTGGAGAGTGTTAACGCCCCACGTCTCCAATGCAAATATCAGCATTTACCTGTGCAGGCGGCTATATGGTTTCTCAGCTGCTGGTGGTCATCACCTCTCTACACACTCAGGGTAAGGAAAATCCCCTGCAGAAGCTGACAGGCTCTTGGCTGCATCACAACTAGGAGTTCCCCTTTCAGCCTGTGTCAGCTCTGCTCCTGGTATTTCAAAGGGGTGGGGCAGAGAACGGAACACTCCCTCTGCCACAGCCTCAGCAGCCTGAAACTCACCACCACCTGCTGAGGCTCGGATCACGGCCTCTTCTCTCCTGACCTGGATACCCCAAGACACTCAAGAACTCCCCCTCCCATTACCGTGAGGGAGGAGCACCATCTTCCTAACCCCAAGGCACTGCCTCCTTCTCCTCAAGTAGTCTTCCTTGGTGGCTACCCAAGCAGAACACCCCAAGACTGGAGCTGCGGGCCTGACCTACGACCACCTCAAGGTAGTCAGGTTTCTGGGTATTAAACCCATTTAATGGCTGTGAAACCCAAACCCCAGAGGGATTATGTGACCTGTGAAAGGTCACACAGCTAATCAAGGGGCAGGGTCTGGACTCCTGACCATAAGCTCATGACTCATCACTGCCATCATAGCCACTCTCCCATCCCACGATGTGGCCCCAAGCATGTCAACTCGAATGCACTCTGCTCTCACCCAGAACTGCTCTGCGGGTCCAAGAGAGATGATATTCCAGATTGGCTTGATTCTCACTATGTGGTAATGAGGAAGTTACTGCAAAAGGCAGTCCACGAGTTCTAGAGTTAGACACTCCTTCTGATGTGGAATCTAAATCTGGGCAGCTCATTTCAGGGCAATGGAGACAAACCCTCATATGCACCCCGCCCCGTGTCTACAGCTCTCCAGAATCAACTTTTTTGAGAAGTGCTTGGCTATGAACACTATTTGTAAGGGAGGGGAATGCAAAAGACATGCCTTCAGAGAGGAAACCAGCCCTGTGGCTGAAGCCAGGAACCCTGGAGAGAGGCAGCAAATGAACATTCCATGCTGGGAAAACACCAGGGACGTTTTGAAAATCCAGACCTCTAACCTCATTTTTGACATCCCAGCCAGCCTGTGCTAAGGCATAAACACGCATGTGGGCACAAATCACAACCACAGGAATTTCGGTAAGTTAATTACACACAACTGCCTAATGCTGGTAATATTTTGGTGAATTAAAGGAAGGCAACAGCAGAATGTGTGTGTCACCAATTGCCAGATAGGAGATAAGTGGAGACTTCTGGGTAGTCTGATATACTGTTGTCCACATCCCTGGCATTCGTGTTGGTGCACTGGAAGAAGCAAACACATCTTTCAGCTTTTACAGACTGGTTTTGGAAGCTAAAGACGGTCTCTTCTTTGATCCCCAGGCTTATAGCATTGCTTCTGGGGTCTAAGTTCAGTGGGGTTGGAGACAGGTTATGTGGCTTCAACTGGGTCCTGATATGATCCATGGTTGGTGGAACTGTGATCAGGGGCTCAGTTGTCTTTAGATGCTGTCTGATCCTTGGGTGGATTGGACTTCATCTAAAATCTTGTTCAATAGGGCTACACTGGGTCAAGAATTCACAGCTGGCTCTGCAGATGGCGGTTCTGTTTTCATGAACACGATGAGAGTAGCTCTTTCTGAGTCCCTCGACATGTAAGGAGTTTTCGAGGACTTTAACAATAGCAGCCAACATCATTTGTGGGGTCTGAAGGTCTCTGAAGGCCAGTGGGGGAGAAAGCACCCACTCCTTGAGGGAGCTGGCGCCAAGTGAGGGTCCTGGCAAGAACAGGACGTTCTTACCAAATCCCAGACAGGAGCGAGGGCTTCTGCGTCATTACTAGCACGGTCTTATCTCTGACTGGTATTTTGGTTGGTGAGGCGCTTGGGATCATGTCACACAGTTAACTCTACCCCAGAGACTGCGACCCTGGGAAAACATTTGTTCAGTTACCCCATGGTTTTCTAATGCTTATTTGAAAAAATTGCCTTTTTCATAACCTGTTTTTCCTAGTCATTTGGACACAAATATATAATTTATTCAGCTTATCGATTTGCTTAGGTTTAATGACATTTCTTTCTGATGAGTGAAGGATCCACTGGGGGTGTGGAGGGAAGGGTTATAAATATACACTTCTAAAAGTTTCTTTCATTGTAAGTGGGTTTCAGTGGTTCATACTTTAAAATGCAGAAATAAGTTGACGAAAAGAATTAGTGTGTATCTATCCTTGGGCATTTCCTAGCCTCAAGGACATTTTTTTTTTGAGACAGTGTCTCCCCCTATTGCTCAGACTGGAGTGCAGTGGTGCTATCAGGGCTTACCGATGCCTCAACCTCCCTGGCTCAAGCAATCCTCCCACCTCAGCCTACCAAGTAACTAGGACCACAGGTGTGCACCACCAAGCCCAGATAATGTTTAGATTTTTTTCTGGTAGAGATGAGGTCTCATTGTGTTGCCTACGCTGGTTTCGAACTCCTGGACTCAAGCCATCCTCTTGTCTCTGCCTCCCAAAGTGCTGGGAATGCAGGTGTGAGCCCTGAGTCAGTCCAGTAGTTTTATTTTGAAAGAAAAATTGGAAAATGCAGAGCCACAAATGGGCGTCCTGGACTTTGGTCTGGTGGTAAAGCCAGCACCTTCATAATGGAGGAAGGATCTCCTAGATGCTGGGTTCAGAATGAAATAGGAGCATAGGCTGAGCATCTGCAGCGGAGCTCACTGAGCACGTACAGGACCTCACTTACTAAACGCAGACACTCCCCGAAGTGTCCCATTGTGATGAGCTCACAGCTCAGGCAAGTTCAGCAATCTGCCCAGGGTCACTCGGGTAGTAAGTAGAAAATGAGATTCAGACCCAATTCTGTGCGGTTCTAAAACCCAGGCTTTCCTAGGCCAGCCGACTAAGGCTTCAGCCCATCTAAGGAGGGCTTGGTACTGGGAAGGCGCTGGTCAGCATGGAAGCAAGGCTGGTGGGCATGTGTCCTTGGGAGGAGGGTCACATGCATCCTCCCACCAGGGAGGTGTTTGCAGCCCGGGTCACGGAGTCTCGGGGTGTTCCCGAATGTGGGGAAACAGTCCCTCGCCCTAACTGTCTCAGAGTCTGTGTCCAGAAGAGCCCTTGTTATTTGGAAGATACTCTCTTATTAATGGGGAGTATCTTGGTTTACTGCTTTATAGGTCATGGTCAACATAACTTTGTCACCATAAATATATCACTGGGAGTCTGTTACTAAATAGTATAAGAATTCAGAGTTTTTAAACCTGAAGTACTGAGGATAAGACTGCAGACTTTGAGGTTCTTCCCATGAGGGGTAAATGGTTTGGGGAAATTAGGTTACATATCTGAAAAATAAAGTTCAAAAGATGTGGCCAAGGGAGCTACCGAGGGGTCAGGAATCAGGAAGCTGATGTTTATCAGGATGGGGAGAGGGGCTGGAAGAAGGTCAGGAGCAAGATAATGGCAGCAAACACTTACTGAATGTTAAATCTAATGAGATGACAATTATTGTCTCCATTTTACAGGTGAAGAAACTGAGGCTTAGAGAAGTTACATATCTTGATTAGGGTCAAACAGCTAATATTTGGCAAGGCTGGGACCTGAACCTGGTTTTCCGGGTGCCAGTGTCTAGTCACTTTCCCTAATGCCAAATGGCCCCTCAGAAACCCAACACCTCCAAGTGCTTCCCTGTTTTCCTCAAATCCAGGAACTGTTGGTCTTTTGGGCAATTCTGAGCGCAGCCACTAAGGGGCAACATTGTCCAAATATGGCTCAGCTCTGTCTCTCATGGGAAGAACAGGGGAGGGAGTAGGAGTTGCCTTGTTGTGTGTTAGGCTGTGTGTGAGGCTTTCTTGTATCTATTTAGTCTTCCCAGCAAACCTGCAGAGGAGGTGTTATCCCATTTCCAAGATGAGGCCATTAAGGAGCTGCTGGATGATAGAGCTTAGCGGCAGAAGTAGGAATGGAATCAATGTCCTGCTGGATCCCACGTTCTGCCTCCAAGCATGCTGGGCTCCCAAAGATAAAGTCATTTTATGCCCTCAATTTTTAGTCTTGTAGGGAGGTAGAAGGGGGAACTCCCTTAAACTTGGGTTTGGACGGCCTAGTGAAGAAGATGGGTGGGTGAAGAGTAACCATGCCTTTCCTTTGGTTACTGGAAGGAAGAATAAAGATTTTTTTTTTTTTTTTTTGGGACGGAGTTTCGCTCTTGTTACCCAGGCTGGAGTGCAATGGCGCGACCTCGGCTCACCGCAACCTCCTCCGCCTCCCGGGTTCAGGCAATTCTCCTGCCCCAGCCTTCTGAGTAGCTGGGATTACAGGCACGCGCCACCATGCCCAGCTAATTTTTTGTATTTTTAGTAGAGACGGGGTTTCACCGTGTTGACCAGGATGGTCTCGATCTCTTGACCTCGTGATCCACCCGCCTCGGCCTCCCAAAGTGCTGGGATTACAGGCTTGAGCCACTGCGCCCGGCAAGAATAAAGTTTTAAGGTGGAAGTTAAATACCGTTAAAAATTACTCTGGTGTTGGAACGACTGGATTTTGACATGCAGAAGAATGAAAATGGACCTTTGTCTCACACCATGTGCAAAAACCAACTCAAAATCAATTAAAGACTTAAATATAAGAAATGAAATTATAAAACTACTAGAAGAAAACAAAAGCAAAAAGAAATAAATAGGATTATATGAAACTAAAAGGTGTCTGCTCAGCCATGGAAACAATTAACAGAGTGAATGAAGAAACAATCTACGGAACGGGAGAAAATATTTGCAAACCATGCATCTGATAAGGGATTACCCAAAATATATAAGGAACTTAAACAACCCAATAACAAGAAAACAAAGAATCTGATTAAAAAATAGGCAAGGGATCCGAATAGAGATTTCTCAGAGGAAAACATACAAGTGGCCAACGAATACATGAAAAAATGCTCAAAGTCCCTAATCAGCGGGGAAATGCAAATTAACACCAGTGAGATATCACCCCACAGCTATTAGAATGACTGTTATCAAAAAGATGAAAGATAGCGAGTGTTGGTGAGGATGTGGAAAAACAGAACCCAAGTACACTCTTGGTGGGGAGGTAAATTAGTACAGCCATTCTGGAAAACAGCACAGAGGTTCCTCAAAAAATTAAAAACAGAACTACCATGTGATCCAGCAATCC